CCCCAAAACCCCAAAACCCCAAAACCCCGTGATAGATAGTAGGATTGAATTAGAAATTATCCGTAGATAATATCTCTGAGCCATTCTTTGATTTCTATTCTGACCTGTTTAAGAGTATCAGCATCATCTTCTTCCTCGTTATAGAGTTCTACACAGTGAGCACAGCCTTCGCATTGGATAAGTCTTGATTTTTGGTTAAGTTCTTCGTAGACTTCGGTCACTCCAACCCATTGCCATGGGTCTTCACCTCCATTTGTAAAGAAGGTGTTGGAGCCTCTCACAAAATCACTTCCAAAGTGAACATTGGTAGCCTTGGCTTGAGTTAAGATATCTTTTCCAAAAGATTCTTGACATCCTTCGTCCCAATAAGGTCTTTTGAGAAGTTTTGAACGCATAGGAGAATCATCATGAGGAGTCTGGAAGTATCCGTACTCTGTACAATATTGATAATGCCAAGCTCTTCCTGTGCTAGCAGCATTGAGTCTAGGAGCTTTCAGGAAGTGGCCATAGAGTTCGTCATCCTTTGCAATTGCTTTAAATTGATCGAATACTGAAGAATTAATCAGAGTTTCAAGGAAATGGCACATATCTGGAGATCCTCCATATTGAACTTTGCCGGCAAATGAGCTAGCAAATGAGATGGCAAAATCAGCATCAGAATAGTGTTCAGCATTAAAATAACTTTTAATTTCATCAAGTGTTGTCCTGTCACCTTCATCAACTAAGTTATCGAAGAATTTGGTCGTATCTTGGATAACCTGAGTACAGGATGATGAGCTCCTCATTGTGGTATTATAGACTTGGTAATCATACATATGCATGTCTTCCACAGCCTGAACAACAGCAGATGAAGCCCATGAAGCTTCAGCAATATGTGGATACTTGGCTCTAAACCATGCTGACAGAGCTCCTGGGTAAGATCCTCCTACAACAATGATTTTGCGTTTTTGTCCTCCATTTTCTTCAACAATCTTGTCATTAAGAGTTGTAAGAAACACAGCTAGATCAGCTAGAGCATGCTTGGCTGAGAGGTATACTAAATCCTTTGTCTCAAGATCATCACTAAATGGCTGGGATTCTCCATAGTATCTATGCTCAAGGTAAAGGAAGAGTCCATTGAATTCTTGTGCTACTTTGACAGGGAACTGACGTTCTTCATTTACGCCACAGACGTATTCCCCACAAATATACAGAAAAATTGGACCATTCTTGAAGTCGAAAGCATCAGCATTGTACCAGAATCTTTGTGTATAAGTTCTCTCATCAGTTGGATCGAAATGGTCTAGAATAGAACAAGTTAGATCAAGCCACGATAATTCTTGAATTTAAATATTTAATGATTACCTATTAAGTTTGTAAATTCTGATTGCACAAATCCTGTTCCCTCTAGTTGGAATCCATCTTTAAAACCTATTTTTGTAGATAGAGCTTGACTTAGCAAGCAAACGAACATCATATAGATAGCGTAGCGATTCATTTTTATAAGAATATTTTCTTGCTCTCAATTTTCTTTAAATTTTCTGGGGTTTTGGGGTTTTGGGGTTTTGGGGTTTTGGGG